ATACATTAGAAAGCACAACTAGGGAGAGAAAGATATTATAAATGTGTGGCAAAAAAATCAATTCTCTAGTAAAGGAGACGTAACTCTTGAAACAGCATTATTAGATGTACCTCAAATGTTTCTTTCCCTGTGTGTCTTCAATTGTGATCTGACTGGCTCCTTGCCACTTGTAAAATTTCAATTTTATTTTCTATCCTGTATTTTTCAATTGTTTCTTTGTTAATTCAATTTTCTGCCTTTGTTTGTAAATAAAAAGACAGTTTAGAAATTCAAGCATAACATTTCTTGTTTAATTGCAATATGAAATAGATAAGATGTTTTGCCTGGCTCTAGCAGATCTAAATGTATGAATTCAGGTCACATTTTCTAAGAGGCATTGAAAGCATTTATCCTGGTTAGCAAATATAGACATAAATGTGATGGCTAAATCCTTAAGGCTAGCATGTGACAACATGACTGGATCAGTTGATATCGAAGATCAAGAGGCAGAATACAGTTTTGAAAAAGATTGAGGAAAAACCTTTTTCCAGTGATGGAAGATTCATAAAGTAGCACAAAAAGTATGATGCTAATAAAATAGAAACAATGAACCAAAATGTACTACTGATGTCAAGAATCAAATTTAAAACAGGTAGAAAACTAATTACATAATTCCCAGTAACTTTGGCAGGGAGAGAAATCACATGGGTGACATCACTGATGTCATAACTTAAAATAACATTGTACTCATGATTTCTGCATATCTTAATAATATTAGTCACTTGTATTTGTACCAAACAATGTGTGGAGGATGTTTAAATGAAGAAGAATGGCTGTTTCATACCAAGTAATTGAAAAGGTAAAATAAATGCAAGGTAATTATCTTAAAATTTAGCTTTCTGATTTAATGTTTAATACAAATTAAATACTGATTTGATAATTACTTAGTATGACATGCTTAACTCTCCTAAAATCTCCACACCTATGCCATTACCCGTTTTGCTTTCCCCCACCTCCACAGCATTGCCCATCTCTGCCACCACTTCTCCCTGCAGTCCACCGAGACCCTCATCCATGCTTTCATCAAGTCCATGCTTGACAATACTAAATCTCTGCTCGCCGGACTTCCCAATTCATCCCTCCACAACCTGCAGATTATTCAGAACTCTACAGCTCATGTCCTTTCCAGCACCAAGTTCTGTGAACCGATCACCCCAATTTTCGTCCAGCTTCACTGGCTCCCCATGCCCCAGAAGATTGAGTTTAAGATCCTCGTCCTCAACTTCAAAACCTTCCAAGTTCTTGCCCCTACCTACCGCTTCGACCCACTAATACCTTACCAACTTTCCTGCTCCCTCCAGTCTGCGGGTACTGGCCTGCTCCATGTGCCCCGCTCTGCCCGCCCCACCATCAGTGGTTGAACCTTCAGCCTTTCTGCCCCCACCCTCTGGAACTCCACCCTGGAATCCCTTCGCCTCGCCCTCTCCCTTGCCTCATTCCCATACATTCTCCAGACAATCCTCTTTGACCTTTGGTTAGCCTCCCACCCCTATCCCCCTTGGCCTTCACTCCTCTCGATTCCCATTCCAGGCTCAGATGCAAACTCTTGACTGTCCCATGCCTTGAGTTGTCAACCCGATGTGAAACGCCCTAAATAAATACAGTTTGTTGTTGTTGCTAATGGTATCATGAAAACCTGGACACATAGGATCAGACCTGTGTGTTCTCATACACATGCATATATTTCTCAGATTTTATACAAATCTGTATTCAATTTATCTGTATATTGTCCATTTCTGGTAATTGCAGGTAATTGAAAAGGATGATTATCTACATTAATGAACAATTTTCATGTTTTTTTTTAAACGTTTAAAAGCATGTGTATTTCAAAGAAGAGATTTTGGGGGTAAATAGTAATTGTTGAAAAACCGCCTCTGTCCCGTTTGCAGGAGTTTTCTTTGCTTGTGTTCCTGCCACCTTGTGGTGGTGTTCATATTACAAATCAGAGAACAATAATTAATCCTTGCTTTTGATAAAACATATCAAGTCAAAACATCTTAAAGTACTTCACAGAGGTTTTCTGTAGAGTGTTAGGACTGTATGTTTTGTAAATGAATGCAATGGCCAATTTGCACAGAGCAATGTTCCATAAACAATGCTGAAGTGAATGACCATTTTTAGGAGAATGGTTTGCCAGAACACTGGGAGAAACTCCCTTCACTCTTCTACTCAAAAAGGCAGACATGACTTTGGCTTAACATCTTAACTGCCTACAACCGCACAGCCATTGCATTATACAAAACATTCTGAAATGGTTTGAAAAGTTTCAATGTGATAAGATGCTCTATCAAATGCAAGGATTATTATTTTACAGTAACAATCTTTGCTCTTTTTTAGCATCTTTTGGGAGGATCAAATACTTTTTTTTAACCTTACTGAAATTATTTATCTTCTAGACAAGAAGTGAAGCGATATTGAAAAAAATAGAATCCAGGAACAATATTCTCAAACATTAAAACCCAAATAATAATAATCCTTGAATTTGATACAACACCTCATCATGTCTTCCAGACGTCTCAAAGCGTGTCGCAGAATATACTGTAAACTGAATTGTGGGTGAAACGCGGGGGTCAGTTGCGCACAGCAGGTTCCCACAAACAATCGTGGATTGAAGTGACCAATTTATTATTATTTTCTTTGAAGGAATTATTACCTGTGGAAAACCAATCCGCCAATAAACTAACAAGTGGGTTCCTACTTACAGGGCCGTGTGTGTAGAGTAAGGAAACTTGCCCAAAGTTTCGCCCTGACGGGAGTCGGACCCAGGTCTCTCACTTGCGAGACTTGTGCTCTAACCACTGAGCTATAGGACTCCGAATAGCACATAATATACTTATAATATATTTTGTTACATAATATAATAATAATCCTTGCATTTGATATACTTCTTTTCACGTCTTCCGGACATCTCAAAGTGCTTCAGATTATACTGCCGGGAGTCGAACCCAGATCTCTGATGTGTGAGGCGAGTGCTCTTACGGTTAGAGCACTCACCTCACAAGTACATCATTCCAATGTTTCCTGAAATAAATTAGAATAATGGAGACAAAAACAACTCAGTGTTTATGCTTTTTCAATTTTTTCGATAATTGTAATTATCAGGAAATAATATATTTTTAAAATGGAATATTTGATGTCTCCATTTCTCTCTGAATCTTCTCTCACTTTTGTTTTTATTCTTATCATATGGGGTATGCTTTGAAGGGTATAAAGCTGGCTCATTTACACATTGCAAAAGCTAGGAACCTCAGGTTCACTGCGAATTTTAATCTTCCATAACAGGTCACGAGGGAGTGAAATACAAGAATTAACCTGGGAAGAGGGGGGAGGAAAACATCCAGACTGCCTGCTCCTAATTGTTTTTGTTAGCTCTCAGTTCTGGCTCATTTGGTACAACTGTTTCCTCAAGTTGTAGCAAATCCTGAAAGAGAAATTGGGAGGTTGTCCCACTCTGTTTGTACCCACAGGCAAGCCACTCTCTCCTTACTGGAGCACGAAAGCTTCTCAAAACCTCTGTATGGCTTGCAATTTCATCATGTTGATATTTGAGGTACATTCAGTCACACCCCACCATTCATTGCCAGTGTTTATTGGAATGAGAATCCCTGGAGTATTGCCAGTCTTGGGACCACTTTCTCTGATCGAACGGAGATGTTTGATGCATTTGTACTTGAAGGTTAAGGATAGAACCAGAAGTGACAATGAGATAAGAGAAGGCTTTGGAGGAAATTTGGTGAAGACATTGGGGCAAAGAGGAGAGAGAATTAAAAATAGAATGGGCTTGTAGTGCTTAATAATAATTACAATAATAATTTTGTTGTGTAGTAATAATAAATAATAATAAAAATAATAATCCTTACATTTGATATTGCATCTTTCACCTAGGGAGGATGTCTCAAAGCACTTCATAGAATATACTATATAGTGGAGTGACTACGTGTTTTGTGTTATTATACGGCAAGTTGTTATTCGAGGTTATAATAAGGACACATAGTTATAGAGCAGGTTATAAGGACACATTAATATAAAAAAAGGTTATCATGGAACTACAGCATCAGGTGCAGGAATTATTAAATTGTATTAATTTAATTAACCACTCGATACAATACAATTTACGTTTCTATTATATTATAATTAACCACTCAATACAATATAATTTATCTTTCTATTTTGGATCACATTTTTATTAATAATAATTCTTGCACATGATACCTCACTTATTGCGTCATTGAGATGTCTCAAAGCACTTCACAGAATATACTGTAAAGTGAAATGACTATATATTTTGTGGGAGAATTTACCCTTCCTGAATGTTTTGTCTTCCAGGCAAGAAGTGAAGCTATATTCAAAAAATATGAAAAATCCAGGAACAATTAACAACGCCACACACGACAATATACAATTTCCATATCGAATATTGCTACGATATGGTATTAAATTGTAATTAACCACTCCATTCAAGGCAACGTACACTTTCAATATTGAATGCACTTCGATGTTGAATTATATTACAATTAACAAGACGGCATACGATCTCTACCGAGAATACACTTCTCGATTGAATAATATTATAATTAACTACACAGTTCAAGACAATATCTAATTTCTATATTGCATGCACTTACACATGGCATTATATTATACATTATATAAGCGCTTTGGGATGTCCTCCCGACGTGAAAAGCGCTATATCAAATGCAAGGATTATTATTATTATTATTATTATATTACACTGAACCACACGAGACAACACACACTCCCTCGATGGAATGTACTTCTGTACTGAATGACATTACAATTAACCGGACAGGATACGATTTCTGTGCGGAATATACTGCCATATTGGTAACCAACCGCTCCTTACGGGGCATCGCCCACTTCCCTCCCACATTGGGGGACTGGGCCGAGAGCCCTGGGCCTCCGGCACGGACTGCGCACGCGCCGCCGCCCCCGCCGCCATTTTGAGGGGCGGTTTGAACCGTTGGAAACCAGGGAAACGGGGAGCGCGCGGAGCCCGAGAGGGAGAGAGAGAGAGAGAGAGAGACACAGAGAGAGACACAGAGGCTTCACAGCGGGAGCGAGTGAGTCAGTCCCTCTCCGTAATAACCACCGTTCGCCGTCATCACGTTATCAGATTATAATTCCTGCAAAAACCTCCCGACATGAAAGGTGCGGTATATACATCCAATCTGTTGTTGTTGAGAAGGACTGGAGAAGGGAGGGCCCAACACTGGGGGGGAGGGCCCAACACTGGGGGGGAGGGCCCAACACTGGGGGGAGGGCCCAACACTGGGGGGGAGGGCCCCGCACTGGGGGGGAGGGCCCAACACTGGGGGGAGGGCCCAACACTGGGGGGAGGGCCCCGCACTGGGGGGGAGGGCCCCGCACTGTAACCCAACACTGGGGGGAGGGAGGGCCCAACACTGGGGGGGAGGGCCCAACACTGGGGGGGAGGGCCCAACACTGGGGGGGAGGGCCCAACACTGGGGGGGAGGGCCCAACACTGGGGGGGAGGGCCCAACACTGGGGGGGAGGGCCCAACACTGGGGGGGAGGGCCCAACACTGGGGGGGAGGGCCCAACACTGGGGGGGAGGGCCCCGCACTGTAACCCAACACTGGGGGGGAGGGACCCACACTGTAACCCAACACTGGGGGGGAGGGAGGGCCCAACACTGGGGGGGAGGGCCCAACACTGGGGGGGAGGGCCCAACACTGGGGAAGGGAGGGCCCCGCACTGTAACCCAACACTGGGGGGGAGGGCCCCGCACTGTAACCCAACACTGGGGGGGAGGGCCCCGCACTGTAACCCAACACTGGGGGGGAGGGCCCCGCACTGTAACCCAACACTGGGGGGGAGGGGGGACCGCACTGTAACCCAACACTGGGGGGGAGGGGGGACCGCACTGTAACCCAACACTGGGGGGGAGGGGAGACCGCACTGTAACCCAACACTGGGGGGGAGGGACCACACTGTAACCCAACACTGGGGGGGAGGGACCGCACTGTAACCCAACACTGGGGGGGAGGGCCCCGCACTGTAACCCAACACTGGGGGGGAGGGGGGACCGCACTGTAACCCAACACTGGGGGGGAGGGCCCCGCACTGTAACCCAACACTGGGGGGGAGGCCCCGCACTGTAACCCAACACTGGGGGGAGGGCCCCGCACTGTAACCCAACACTGGGGGGGAGGGCCCCGCACTGTAACCCAACACTGGGGGGGAGGGCCCCGCACTGTAACCCAACACTGGGGGGGAGGGCCCCGCACTGTAACCCAACACTGGGGGGGAGGGAGGGACCGCACTGTAACCCAACACTGGGGGGGAGGGAAGGAGGAGTTTATTTTACTCGGGGGTTAAGGGGGTGACTGTCATTTCGGTGTTGGTGGGTGGGGCGCGGGGGCGGAGGGGGGAGAGAGAGTTGAGGATGGGGTTTGGTGGTGGACGTCCTCCCGACGTGAAAGGCGCTGTTTAAATGTCATTTTGTTGTTGTTGTTAATATCCACAGCGGCTGCGTAACCGTCGCCAATCCTTCCCACCGCCGCCACCGCTCTCTTCTATAATAGTATTGCTTACGTTTTCTTCAGAGGGAAATGCCCTGGGATTCAGTGTGTCAGCTCAGCACACGGCACCCTGTGTCAGCTCAGCACGTGGCACCGTGTGTCAGCTCAGCACACCGCACCCTGTGTCAGCTCAGCACACAGCACCCTGTGTCAGCTCAGCACATAGCACCCTGTGTCAGCTCAGCACACGGCACCCTGTGTCAGCTCAGCACGCGGCACCCTGTGTCAGCTCAGCACGCGGCACCCTGTGTCAGCTCAGCACACCGCACCCTGTGTCAGCTCAGCACACCGCACCCTGTGTCAGCTCAGCACACCGCACCCTGTGTCAGCTTGGTGCAAGGGTTTCAATCTCGCCTCCAAGTCCAAAGATTGTGGGTTCAAGCCCCAGTGCGGCACTGTCGGAGGTGCCGTCCTTTGCAATCCACTCCTCTGCTATGTTTTCCAGGTTACATCTTCAGAGTTGTGAAGGTTAACCCTAACAGGCAGTTGGAAGTTCTTTATATGGAGGAAAATTAAAAATTGTAATGGAGGGTGATGGAAGCTAGGATGTTGGTCTTGTTTAAGAAACAAATTCATGCTGTAATGAAGGCTATGGGTATTCTAGAACAGTGTTTTCGAATAGAAATTGCTGACAAGCCACAGGTAACATCATTTTAGCCACATGCACTAATTTTAATAGAAAACCGTACACTCACACAATACATGTATGTTTACATTATATTTGCTTAGCATACTTACTTCATAAACATCTACCACCGTTCATGCAAAGCTTTGTAGTCTTTCTGTTTCACCAAATTGGTAGGCTGTTTTCCCCTTCATCTGTAACCAGGGTGAAAACAACAGATTTCAGCAGCAATATTGTCTGAAGAGGGGAGCAGTCAATTGGGGTTATTTTGACCAATTGGAATAACGGCTACAGAGGAAAGCAAACTCAGCTAACAATGAGCAGCTCCAACAGGGCATATCATGGGCCAAAGCAAACAGCGCCCAAACATGTTCTAAATGGAGAGCAGCGCTAGACAGAGAAAGTCTTCTCTTTTATTTTTCTCTTGTGAGACATGCCAGATCCGGCCTTGTTACCTTTGTTACACACCCTTTTAGCAGTAACCAAGGAAGTAAAAGCTTACGCAATGATCAAAAAACATTTGCACACTCTGTTTTTTGTTTTACCATTTTACCAACAAAGGCACAAAGATATCAAAGTGCACATGCGTACACCGTGCAAATATAAGTATTGACGTCACATGCCCAATGTCTGCCAATTACTCATTTTTTATTAACTATTCAAAAATACAATTTTGCAACATCTGGATTCCCAATTAGCCACATGCGGCTAGTGGCTAACGTATCAGACAACTCTTTGAAGTTTTAGAAGTATGAGATTAACTGGTTCAAAGGACTTCTTTCATGTATACTTGTGATCACGTGAATGCTAATTACATGATTTTTCCTTAGTGAAACATATCTACTCGTGTCAAGATGAACTGTGCAATGTTATTGATGTGGAGGATTACAGCACTCTTTAAAGGAAACTACAAAATGGATATTTAATTTTCTCAGTTGTTTTTCATTTTGTTTTCTTTCTTTTTAAATTCTTCAACAATTTTTTCCCCCCTGTCCACAACTAGGTGCTGTATAAAATGATTGAAACAATCAAGTTACGTCGTGGAGGGGCGTTGAATTTTAAATCACATTATGAGTACCTGTGTGCTCTTCAGGACACGGTGCCATTGCAAGCAGTAAAAGCAAATTTAAGTCAAGGTGCTTTGGACATTAATGGTGATCGCATCAAGCTTTCTGACTGGGAACCTATTCTCAGCACAATCAGTATTAACAACCATCTATCCTTCCTTGCTGTTAGAAGTTATCATCAGCCAAGTGTTGGAGAAATGGGTAAGATACCAGACAATTTTAAAACTTTATTTCACACTATTTGTTTAGAATGTACAGTGTACTATTTACATCTAGCCCCCCTTCCTCTGGTTTGCTTTGAAGCCTTGTGCTGCTGTTTTTGAAAGCAAATTCCTATCAACTCATCACTATATTTCAGTCAGTTGAGTTAAATTATGTAGCTGACTTAGTAGTTCAGAGGCTGGCAGGTCAAATAATGTCAATTGATAATGTTGGCACATTTCGATACCTGTTTAGAAAGATTTCTAAAAAAAATCATGTTTATATTACTTGTAAACTAAAACACTGGGAGTTATAATCCTTGCAGTTAATATTGTGTCTTATATTGTCAAGAAGTGCTTCACAGGAGTTACTGTGAAGTAATATTGACTCTATTTGTAGGTCAGGGGTCTCCAACTGGTCGATCGCTGTTAGGTGCTATCTTGCACATGCTCAATAAAAGCAAGAGGAAGGAGCAATATTTACCACAGTTTTAACGTTAAAGTTGTATTTTTTGCAGATGGATGAAACATTTCGTTTTCAATTTGATTCAATAACGATACAATTCCATCACTCCTTTTGTCTTTTTGATGATACATGACAGCGCCACCCAGTGGCGATCGACCGGTTGGCGATCCTTTTTGTTTGTGAACGCGGCAACCAACGTGCGCGCACCAATGTCCCACAAACAGCCCTGAAGTGAATGACAAATTTTATCTGGACAGTTGTTGGTCCCAATATCAGGAGAACCTCCCTTCTCTCTCAAGTTGTCCCATGGGATCTTTAACATTCATCTGAGCAGGCACTTGGTACCTTTGATTAACATTTCATGTGAAGGACAGGTCAGTTCAATTTTTGCTCTATAAAATTGGAGTGTCAGCTTGGACTTTAAGTTCATAGTCCCAACCTGGGGCTTTGAATCCACAACCTTCTGATTCAGAGGTGAGAATGCTACCAACTGAGCTAGGCTGATGCAGATTAAAAGCAGCAAGTGATTAAAACCTATTTTGCTGCATTAGCAAATATAATGGGGAACCATTGAATTGCATAAATTGGGTGGAATGTTAAAAGTCAGCACAAATAAATACTGTATTTTCTTTGCTCCTCTTGATATTCTTGCTCCTCCACAACTAGTATAAAAATCCTTAACATGTCTCTAATTTATTTAAGACTTTGGTTAAAGAAAAATTATTTCAGCAATATGTAGCTAAAAAGGTACATTGACAAAGGATTTAATTATTGCAGATCAGATTTTTGATTTTGACTGTGAGGAAAAAAATCTAAAGTGAGTAAAGGTACTCAAAGTGATTGATTGTGAAAGGAATTTTCCACCCAAGAGTATGGTTGTAGTATCGGGATGCTTTTGAGGATAGTTTTTATTTTGATTGTACAAGCACACTGGAAGTACAGAGACTAATGAAAGAGGTTTAGTGATAAAATCGAGTTGTATTTTCAAATACAAAAGCATAATGTTTATGGTTATGAAATTGTTATTCAACATCACTTTACTAGCTAGCTTCATCTAAGCATACTCTTTTGAGTTCTACTGTACAGGTTACAGCAATTCAGCACACATAACTCCTATAGGTTGTTTCTATCTTGTTTGTATGCATCAAACCAAAGTAGACTAATTTAGTCTTTGTGGCCAGATAAGCAAGGTAGGCTGTGTTCCCATTTTATATAAAAAAAGACTATCACTGACATGAATTCCCTTGAAAATAGTCACCACTGAAATCACTTTCTGCAAAAAAGCAACCATTGATATAAGTTCCTGTATGCTGCTATTAGTGCTGTTAGTGCTCTGAGATTCTACCCTGCGTGGAGGGCACTATATAAGTTCTACTTGTTTTTGTATTACAAGAAAGCTGATAATCACTCTGCCTGTGCTAGAATTGGATGTACAATAGCAAGGCACATTATAATGGGATTATCCTTTGAGGCTGTGTCATAAGCTATCCTGTAAAGGTCCTTCTACTACGCTGAAGGCAGATGTCCGTTGAATGTTCGTTGAATAGCTAATGAGGAAACTCTGGGCTTGAAGCAACAGCTGTTGGAAGGCATTGCCTGGCATCTGGCTTCATGAACCTTTGTTTCTATATCCTGAGCTTGGTATCTGCCTTAATTGGTAAGTAAACAACTGCTGGTTAAGGTCTGCATCTCCAAGTGGTGAAACCATTGTTTGATGGGTAAGGGATGTTAAGGGTAAGGGAGAATATTTCCCACCATTTTTGTCTACCAGTACCAGCTGTACAAAAGTGTGACAGGGTCAGAGTGTCACCTGAACAGGTATTTAATGCATCTGAACTAAAGGGACAGCTTTTTGAGAATGTTTGAAAATTGCATGTTAAGGTACACGTGTTTCTTTTCTGTTTGAAAAAGGTTATGAACGACATCGACAATATTTCAGAAAACGGATATCAGCTATTCGGTCGAAAGATTTGACATTCAGACTCTGTAAGTCAGTTAGAGATTGCCTGAGTGTTTCCAGGAGTTTGAAAACGCTTGAGCTGCAGGGATTGCCATTGAGGCACAGAGACCTTATGGTATTATCAAAGGTGAGAAAAAAAGCATCAGGTGGAAGGTTGCATCTCCATGAAAATCAGTAATATTATTTACATCTGTGAAAATGATGATATCGTGAGACTTTCTGCTTCTGGTCATGTCCCAGCTAATAACTGGTAGCCGATGAACCCCAGCCCCACTCCCTGCCTGATTCCATGTAAGTGTTTAGGTCCAAAGCTGCTTGTAACGATCATTGAGACAGCTCTCTGATAAAAATAATACCAATCTTTGCATTTGATATAGAGCCTTATCACGTCGTCGTCAGTGTCTCAAAGCGATTGAAAGTATTTACTACAAAGTGTTTTGACTGTATTTTGTAGCATTTCACAATCAGATTGTGAAATACCTGTTAAACAAGTTGAGTTGAGTTAAACCAGATGTGAAATAGGGTGTGATCTGTGAGGCACCAAGTTCAGAACATTGCCAGAAGCAGTAAAAACGTTCAACTTCCATCAATTATAACTGGTGAAAGTTGAACATTGAAAGTTGCATTGTTTATTCCTATATTTCAATCTGAAAACTAATATTAGTAAAATTAATTGCCTGTGTATCTTTGCAGCAATCTTAAGAATACGAGTAGTAAGTTCATCTGTTAGCACTATTTTCTGGGATTGTTTTGTTAGAGTGAAAAAAGCTATCAAATGCAGTTTGCTAGAAAGGGAATTCCATCAAATATGGACTTGTAATAGATTTTAACTTGATGTATATGCTACTTCTCTCTTCAAATATGTTTCTATTCATAAGGATAATATCATTGAGGGGTATAGATAATTCTAATAATTAACCTTTGCATTAGATATAGTGCCTGGTCACATTATCGAAAGTCTCAATGCCACCTGAACAGGCAGACGACATTGGCAATGCAATGCTCCCCAATATTGCACTTGAGTGTCAGCCTGGACTTGTGGCTTGAAGTCGCAACCTTCTGACTCAGAAGCAAGACTGCTACTGACTGATGCCTAGATAATGTCATAAACTACAAGTTAAAGCTCAAGGTTGTTTAAAACAGTCATCTAACGCCCACAATAAGATTACAGCCTCAAAATTACTTAGACTTTAAAAAATATATAAACTTTTGTGTTCAGGGAGAATTTAGAGGATCAGTCGCTTCAGATTATTTTTTCCTGACTTCACAGCAAGCAATTGGAGTGGCATTGACATGGCTTGAGAAACAGTTCCTTCAGTCTGATGTCTTAGTAAAGGAAAGGGAGGAAAGAAAATATATTTTTGAACAGACATGTTTCTGACATTAAAGTTTTTTTTTAATCTCCTGGCATATTAATGTAGAACTTGGTATAATTTCTCTGTGTACTTTTATCCCTTATTAATTCTAATTAATTTTGTGCATTTCATTTTAGGGTTTATCCAATTCAAAATCATTGGATAATCTTTTGTTAGCATACTGTCCAATAGGAGATGAAGGACTGGAAAGTGAGTTCCACTATGTCTCTTATTAAATAAGTTATTACATAATGTAGTACTATTATGTAATACAATGATGTAAAATAAGATTACTAATCAAATTACTTTTTTTATTAGTCATCTGTCAAAGTGTGAAGAATTCTGCAACAATCAAAACTGTAAACTTCACAGGCTGTAATTTAACATGGCGTGGAGCAGAACACATGGCCAACATAATCAAGGCAGGTTTTGTTATTGGTCTTTCTCACTTATATTATCTGTTTTTTTAAAAAAAACACATATACTGTTTCAATATCTTGAATATCAAAAAGCTATATATCAAATTAGGAGTTCTGTTTAATCAGTTGTGGCAGATTGACTAAAAGCCTACCAGCTTATCTTTCTCAAAAAGAGAAAGGTAAGCTTTGGTTCAGATGTGTTAAACACCCATTTAGGTGACACTCTGACCCTGCCACACTTTTATACAGTTGGGACAGATAGGGCTGGGGTCGTGAATCAGGGACCAGTGGATGCTGAGCAAAGGGAGCGGCCAGGTCAGTTGAAGGAGATCACAGATGTAGGGTGTGGCAGGGCTGGGAAGGGATTTGAGCCTGAGAAAGATTTGGACTCAATCCACTGGAGAACATCTCAAAGCACTTGCTGGATGGGCATCCAATTAATTTGACATAAATTTTCTACAATAAATTCCTGAATCATTTTTATGCATAAATGTTTTGTTCTATACAGTACCAAACAACAAAAAGGCATGGTGAGGTCTGGGCAGAGAGCCTTCGTTATAGGCATCCTGATCTTGATTGTATGACTGGCTTGCGTCGCATTACCGTAAGTTGTAATGCATTGATTGGTGATGATGGAGCTATTGCTTTTGCAGATGCCCTTAATGATGACCTGTGGCTGAAAGGTACGTTATACTGAAAGTCATTTATCTGTTTAATGTTAGGTTTGCTACATAGGAATGGTCCTATTATAATATCTTTTTTATAGTGTAAATGATTTGTTGTGCATGTTGCAATGATTCTTACTGCATTGATTTGTTTGCCAACAAGTACACTGTCACTACACCTCACAGTAAAACATTAAGTGCTTTGAGACTTCTTGATGACATGAAAAGGCTCGATATCTAATGCGAGTATTATTGTTAGTCTAAACCCCGAGTAAAATAACAGATTTGAATCTATTGTTCCATTGTTATGATCTCAGTCTAATATGGGTTATTTCCTCATGTTTAGTTGTTATCAATAAAGTGAAAAAATGTAGGTTGGCAGTAAAATATACCTCAATAGCATCATTCAACTCCTCACCATTCCCTGCAAAATTTGTCTGCAGTTTCCTGCAAAATCGACAAATCTCCCCACAATCTGGGGTAAATATTTCCACACTTTTCTATTGGCCCAGATCATGACCCAATGTTTAATGGAGAGTGGTGATCCACATAGAGTGAGCCAAGACCCAAATTTTCTCAATGTTGCTATATATTGAGGAATTTTAGACCCAGGCAAAGAATTGAAGAAGTATGACTTCCAAAGTCTGAAGTTAAGAATTCTCCCAAATTCTACACTTTTAACATTTTAACACTATGACCAAAATAAATTTGGGACCTGATTCATTGTTATACAGAAGGAGAAAGGAGTTTTTTTCCTAGTTTTTCCTGGCCAAAAATCCCACAGATATCATTGATGATTCACATCAAGGCTGTTTGTGGGATTGCTGTGCATAAATTATTTCCCATAATCACCAAAAAATACATAGTCAATACACTTTTTACAGTAAAATCCTGTGACGTGCTTTGAGAATTTAATGACTGGATAATGTGCTAAATTAAATGGGTGGATTATTTTAAATACATACAACTAAGAAGTACTCGTTCCAAGTTGCTTTATGCCCTCCGCCCTGCCTGCTCGTCCATTGGAGGTCGGGCCTTTAGCCTTTCTGGAGCCCCTCCGCCTTGCCCCCTCACTTGTCTCCTTCAAGACCCACCTCAAGAGCTTTGGTAATTTTCCCACCACCATGACCGTGCCTTTGGTCATCTTCCTACCACCACCCCCTTGCCTTTTCTACATTTTTCTATCAAATATAATTGATTAGGATCAGAAGTAATTTTGTTGTAAAATACAATTCAAAGAAGTTTATTGTGAAGGACTGTTGTGAAGATTTGCATATAAATTTATGATTATCTGTCTAGATTAGTTTGGCTTCAGAGGCAAATGCTGATGAATGATGTTGGAACAATTAAAGTGCTTTTTGCTGCTAAATGTTTTGACATGAAATACGTTTTGTAAAGTAAATGTCTGTTATTTGTTTCAGCGCTTGATTTGCAGCAGTGTGGAATTTCTGATAAAGGAGCCAAAGCTTTGCTAGATGCTTTGCAATCCAATGCGGCGCTTGTCATTCTGGATGTTAGAAAAAACCCACTGATTGGTGAGTTTGGTACCAGAAATAAAATTACTCGTGCCTTGTGGGTATTCATGCGTAACTATTCTCAGCTGTGTGATTAATGATTAATTTTTTAAAATGTTTTGGATGTTTGCTAGTGTTTGATATATTTGCTGATAGTCAAACAAAAGACAACATGGTGAAGAGAACAAAATATCTATTAATCTTAAAGGTAAAATGATCAGTATGTGTGTACTGTTTCCTTTTACCAACACCTCATATATCTAAGATGTTTTGTAATTGCACTGTAGTCAACGTCTGGTAGCATGTTTTATAATTGAATTTAAGATGTTCGATTTTCACTTAGTGTGCAAAATTGTGTTTACTCTCTGCGACCACGTAGTCTAATAGCCATCCATGGGATTTTATTCATTTGTTTTGATGTATGAGTTGTATAATAATTTGATTTAAATTAACTTCAAGGCATTATTACTAAGTACATAAGATACTAATGAACAAAGCAGTTGGATTTTAACTTTGGGGATACTTTTTCAGATTGAGAGCCAGTGTTTTTATACTTCAACTTACAAATGGTCCTGGGTTTGGGAATTGGACTTCAGGAAAGTGGAAGGGCATACACAGTGCTCTTCATTGATGCTGAGATTCCGTTTCTCCATCTATTCACTTTATCCCAAACCCCGGAAAACATGTGACTACTGCAACAGTGGTACATTTTTATTTTCCACATATGGCACCATCATATACAGTTTAATTCTGAACTATGGATCTATGGTTGTTAGAAACTATTCTTTTCCCAAACTAATTTAATTGGTATCATTATTGTTAGCTACGGGAGTGTAATTTCAGCCACATTCAACAATAAAATTACATGTGTATAGCGCCTTTCACGTCGGGAGGATGACCCAAGGCGCTGGACGAAACATTATCTAAACATGCATTTGCCCACAAAACACACAGTCACTACACTTTACAGTATATCCTGTGAAGCTTTGGACATTTTCGCGACATGAAAGTCGTTATACCAAATGTAAGGATTAGTATCAAAACCCTGTGGAGATAATTTATTTGCTTATCTGTGCTTTTTATACAGCACAGTTGTCATTAGTCATTTAATACGTCATATTATGGGAAGATGAATTTTGATTTCACTGTGATACTGTGTTCAAAAACGATGTGATTTGAAGTTGAATTACATTCATTATTCCTGTAATTAAATGTTTTTAACTCGCCTCTAGATCCTGTTTTAGCAAAATCCATTATTGAAAAAATATTGGTGAAAACAAAGGAAGTGAATTCTGAGGTAAGATCTTTGCAATGCGGTTACTTAATTAATCTATCTTCCATTTCTTAAAACTGGATGAAGTTGCGCCAATACAGAGGATGATATATTATAATATTTTGAGTGGAATTGAGAAAATAAACGTGGAACAATATTTTTGGATGCATCGAGACAGCAGAATAATGGAACACATGTTAAAGGCTGCAAAGGAAATATCAGTACAGAGACCAGGAAGTATTTATTTACTCAGAAGATAATTATTGATTGGGATAGGTTAACAAAAAGGAAGGTTGATGCCAGGACCGCTGAAGTGCATTTGCTTGATGGGAGGATGGTTGTGTGGGAATTCTGGAAGGATCAGATTGAATAGGCTTTATTCTTCCTCCATTACAGTACAAGTGGTTATCACCGATATCTTCCAGAAACCCTGCTAAACAAAAGTCACGAAGAAAAGCAATATTGCTGGGGCATAACTTGAAAGGAAAAGCTACAATCCGTATTGGTAAAATTTTAGGTTAATGCTGCTATCTTTTTATATTTGATGATTTTTCATGCTTCCATATTACATCTTAAAATCTTTTTTCATAAACTTAATGCACTGTCCCTTATTTATTTTCAAAAAAAAATTATATTTAAGAAGAAATTGTATAATTGTTTCTAATTTGTCATACATTTATTTAATGTTTTTTATGTTTCAAATATTCTGGGCTGACAAAAAATGATTGCCTCTTAAAAGTTCCATGAACTGGGGCTTTTGAACTGTAGAAAGTCATAATTTCTGTATGTTACCAGTTTGCATGTTGGGTTGCTTGTTGTCTGATGATTGAATAATGACTATTATTCTTGTTTATTGCATATTGGTAGTTGTAAATTATTGATATTTTACCTTCTAATTTATATTGCCAAAACTAATTGCTTGCTTCCTTCATTGCTGCAGTTATATGGAAGCACAGTGGTAAGAAAACAATCTGTGGTAATAGTTAAATGCAGTTACATTATTTACTGTTGACACTGAATTCAACAATAATAAATCTAATGTTGTGGACCAATTTATATCAGAAGTAAAGTTGGGTTTTCAGATATATGAAGTTGTTCTCCACCATAAGACAAAATACATATTTTCTGGTAATTCTGCTGAATACTGATGAAATGTGCTACCTTAGAATAGTGGCAGGTTGGTTTAAGTGATAAGCAATCTTGTTACTGGAACTCTCAACTGTTTGAATAGGAGGCTCCAAGTATTTTTTCTTAAATTGTCCTTCACCACCCAGAACTCTTTTGTGACAAGCCCTTTTGTCCTCCCTTCCAGGCATATTGTTCACGGCATGAGCATTTTAATACAGAAAATGAATAAAATGCTATTTTGGGGGAAAACACTCAACATGGTGGAAATTAAATATTTTCTATGGTCTTGCTGTTTCATCAGCTATTTTACTATTCAGAAAAATAGGTCATTTTAAATATTTGTTATGTAGGTGCAAGAAAACTTACAGCTGATAGAAGGAAGAGTTCTCATGTTCATCCAGATGCTATCCCTGAACCACTGCCTCCAGGTGCAGAAGGATATGTGCCATGGCGTACTGCTGCACGTGCTCATAGATTCAGGTATTTTTTTNGCCTGTTTGGTTCATTTGTTCTCTCTTATAAAAANCTTTACTTTTATAAAATGCAAATCTTTGTGAGATTCATTTGTTTTATTTTAAGTCATCTGTGCTGCTATATCAAACCATACAACTCTAGTTGTATCAGCCCTCCTGATTGGCTCGCGTCAGCGTCTCCGCACCTCAGGCACTGACAGCATCAGCATCCAAGGCTGCACTCTCCACCTCTCAAAGCCAGTCAGGAACCTCGGCGTTCTGTTCGACCCTGAGCTGTCCTTTCTTCCTCATATCCGCACCACAACTGGCACCGCCTTCCATCACCTCCGGAACATCGCCAGACTACGGCACTACCTCACCCCTCACGCTGCTGAAACTCTGGTCCACGCCTTTATCACCTCAAGGCTGGACTATGGGAACTCTCTCCTCGCCGGCCTTCCCGGCACCTCCCTCCACAAGCTGCAGGTCATTCAGAACTCTGCAGCTCGTGTACTGTCCCGCACCAGGCTTCGCGACCACATCACTCCCACCCTCGCTCACCTCCACTGGCTCCCCATCCCCCAGAGGATCAGGATCCTCATCCTCACCTACAAGGCCATTCACGGCCTTGCTCCCTCCTACCTCTCCGACCTACTATCCCCCTACCTACCTGCCCGTACCCTCCGTTCCTCTGGCTCTGGTCTGCTCCACATCCCCCGCCCCAACCGCCCTACCATCGGTGGCCGGGCCTTCAGCCTCTCAGCCCCAAGGCTCTGGAACTCCATCCCCCAGTGCCTTCACCTTGCTTCCTCCCTTTCCTCCATCACGGCCGGTCTCAAGACCTTTCTCTTTGACCGAGCCTTCAGCTCCCCTCTCGACTCTCTACCCCCTCTTCGCTCCCTCCCTTCCCTCCCCTCACCCTGACCATTTCCCCCCTTGCTCGGGTCCTGACCCAACTGTCCAGCGCCTTGGGACGTCCTCCCGACGTGAAAGGCGCTCTATGAATGGAATCTTGTTGTAGTTGAAAATTTTAGGATTAGTTGATAAGAAACCATTCCCTTTAGAATTGTATAGGATAATCTTGTAGGAGTGTTGCAGTGATAACTGCGGTCATGCCCTTGCACCTCCCTACCTCCCTAATCTGTTCCTAACCCCATTTGACTGCTTGCTTCCTTTATTCAACTAACACAAGCCTGCTTTGTGTAGCCTGACTTCTTTGGGCCACAATCGATGGGTGTGCCTTCAGACATTACACCCTTCATCTCTGGAAAACCCTGCCTCAATCCCTCTGCCTTATCCCCTCTCTATCCTCAAATCCCAATTAAAGCCTGAGACTTTGACCGGGCATTTGTTCCCCTTTCCACTCTTCCACTGCCGTGTTCCTGCATGAAGGGCACTATATAAATGTTGCTGCTGGCATAATTACTCTTCAAATTTGTTGTGCCACCATTGATGATCTAGTGGATAAAGGCGCTATCAGGTGTAACCCTAAGCCGTACAGAGAAAGATTGAAAGTTCAAATCCTATGCCTGAGTTAACATTACATTTGTCCTCAGCATTGCTGTATTGGAGAGAGATTGGCTGGTTTTCCCATTCCTGATTTCTGATTTATGTTAATTATGTAAGTGTATCATTGAACAAAACCATTTGTTTCCATATGATATAGCTTCAATAAGTGGAAACTCACTATTAGGGGCACTGATGCTTGAATAAGATGCATAAGTACACTTAAGATTTATACTTGAAAATAGCCACTTGGATAAGGAACTGGAAAGAGTTCAATGCTTACACGCTATAAAATAAGAACATTTATGTCAACAAAGGTTGCTATGGTTTCAGTTTTGCATATAATAATTCTTAAAGAATTTATTTTTCCATTTTAAAAGGGGCTTTTCTCCAGACATGCCACTGCACCAAAAGGAAATGCAGGTAATGATGCGACAGTAAATTACAATAGTTGTTGTATTTTAATCATAAATTTATGCCATCCAAACTCCGTTCCAAACATTTTAAATTAAAATTGTTTTGATATGCAGAAAACTTTATTCCTTTGTTATATATGTGCACAGTTTATTTATACTGAATCAAAACCACTAGTTCTCAGATTATTTTTTATTTTCTTTCACTGTTGAAGATAACTACAGTATATCTTATCTGTTAGGCCTACTAAAATTGGTTCGGACTTGCCAAGCTAACATGTAAAATGGCAGATTGATGTCATGGTATTTTGAGTTTATTAACTCTGCTGAGATTGGCGCAGGGCAGTAGACATAATAATTATCCTCTATAGTGGAATACAGCAAGTGAAATTTTCATTGAAAAGAATAAATCCTATGGGTGTTGGGGAACAAGTATAAATTTAATTTGTAACCTCTAGAGCAGGTCTCCAACTTCTAGGTGGTGATCATGAGTGCTCAATAAAAACAAGGAAAGGGTGATATTTACTGCAGTTTAAACATGAGAGTTTATATTTTTATTTTGAAATGTATGAAATACTTCATGCATCTTGCTTCATTTTCAATTAGACTCATTGACAACCCGTCATATCGCTCCTTCCTCTTGTCTTTTTCATGCGCGAGAAAGCCAGCGAGCTGGGATCTCCCCTGCTCCAGAGCATTTCTTTAAGTTTACTTTGGAATCGTTTTTAAACAAGCAGTCAACCTCTTTTAAGAGAAGATTTTTTAATTGTCTAATGACTGCTTGTATATAGAGAGGGAAATTAGTTTAGTTGGCAGCAACTCTAACCTAACAATTGATTATGAAAAAAGATCCTATTAATCCTAAAACAAAAACAGAAGTCGCTAGGAACATACAGCAGGTCAGACAGCATCTGTGGAGAAAGGAAAGTTAATCAACGTTTCAGGTCCACGACCCACGACCCAGTTCTAACAAAGGGTCGTGGACCCGAAATGTTGACTCACTTTCCTTTCTCCATAGATGCTGCCTGACCTGCTGAATGTTCTCAGCGATTTCTGTTTTTGTTTTCAGATTTCCAGCATCTGCAGTATTTTGTGTTTTGTTCCTATTAATCCAAGTTTTTCTAAATTTTCCAGGCCACGTATGGCTTATGAAATTACTGTTCTGTTGCTTGCTGGCTGCTCATTACTTTAAATGGCCCCGGTGCAGCCGTGTAAAATTAGAGATCAAAGCTCACAAATTAAAGAGAAAGTGAGAAGGGAAGTAGAGACAGGGAGAATGGAAGAAGAAAAACAATAATTTTTTTTACAAGCATCGTAATAAGATTATTTTTCTAAAGAGTGGTTAATTTGGCATGCAACCTTTAATCCAAAAGAAATCTCAAGATTCCTACCCTTGCTTACACAGCCCTTTATAACCTAGTACCTCCCAAGCTCTCTGACCTGCTCATGCTCTACTCCTCTACCCACCGCCTTAGATCAACTAGCATAGGCCTGCTGTGTGTCACCCCACTTCTCCGTGCCACCATCAGAGGCCGTGCCATCAGCTACCTCGCTCCTAACCTCAGGAACTCCTGCTTCAGTCCCTCCACCTTGCCCCCTCTTTATCTTGAAATCCCACTTTAAGATTTACCTGTTTACATGTTTATGGTCACCTATCCTTCTCGTTTGCTCAGTGTCTAAACCCACCACTGTACAGGGCTCCTGGATATTATTTGCACAAAATAAATGAAGTTGTTTGTTGTTGAATAACATGGATATAAAAATCATTCTGTTAATTATATTCATTGAAGATTGAAGTTACAATGGTATCACCACTAATTTTGAAATAAAATTTGCATTTTAAACCTTTTAAAGTATAATAATAAGGAACTAAATTTCTTCCAGTTTTTTAAAAATAATAATCCTTGCATTTGATATGAAGCCTTATTCCTTTCTGAAATGTCTGAGCTGAGTTTTTTACAAGATTATTGTAGAGTGGAGTGACTATGTAGTTTGTAGGCGAACGTATCAAACGCTTTTTGATTCATTAGGCTGTTTTTAATTGGAGCAAGGCGGTATGGCAATTCAGTGTTGCATTGAAACTGTTTTAGAATATGAGGCATCAATAATGCAATTTATTGATACAAATGCTCCTGCTGTCTATCAGATGTGTTACAATGCAGGACTAACATGTAGAATGGTTTAGTCATCATATCTTCTGGATGACTGGTTAATTGCGAGACAATCAGTTGTTTGACTGTGGGAATGTTGTGGAATGAGGAGAGATGGAAATAGCTAAAAGTACAGGAAGCTTGATGTTCTGACTATTGTTTCTTTGTTCATGTAGAAGAAACAAATGTTGCATCATCTTAAATCGCTTTAAAATCATGACTTGTAATACAGGAAATGTAGGATGCTAATAATTGTGATTTTTAAAATAAAATTGATATCTTTCTAGAGGAGACTGAAATTTACACATCAAAGTCTTGTACAAGTGCTTTTCTGGTAAACAGTTGATACAGTATAATTTTGTTATCTGTAGTGTTGCTGATCTCCCACATTATTGATACAACTAAAGTATGCAGGAATTTCCCAAATGACTTGAAGATGTTTCATTTTACAGTAAATCAGTAATGATTAGAATATAATAGTCATCGTAGCTAAATTTTACATTAGAATTTGAGATTTGACATTTACAAGTTCATTTAGCAGCGTTAGACATTTTGGCTCTGCTTTATTGAAGGTCCTTGCTGCCTGCTTTACAAGTGGAATCGTCGTGATGTTTGACTTTTGTCCAGAGAAATTAAGGAAATAGCCATTTACTGAAATCACAACTGCATCAAATACAGAAGATTGGATACCACTCTACCCATTAAGGCTTTGACTTGCAGGGTTAACAAGGGCTGAATGGGAAGAAACCGTGTCCCCAGTGACATAGCTGCCCCTCCAAATCCTATCGATGAACCAGCTGTCATCAGTTGTACCCTGCAGATCCACCTAGGTCAGGAACCGGACTACCGAGTCCACTACGAGGGTTGATTTGATTCCAATACTCCGTTTGCAAGTATGTCACCTTGGAGCTCAGCTCCGAGGAGACAACCACTTTCCTTTCGCTAACCACTCTCGGAGGATTGATTTCAAGTTCACTCTTATTGATGGGATAAAAATCTCCTTTTATTGATTTAAGTGCAATTAGCTAAGATTAAAAATTGAATACCTTCATTAGGGTTGTCCTCATTGTTACTTGTACTCCAGTGATACTTTATAATTAGTGCAGTAAGATGAATGCTGGGTTGATTTGTCAGTTCTGATTGAGTGCAGGCTGGCAGCCATGTGAAGGTAACCCTGGAGAGTGCATCATCTTCAGAAACTGAAGAGTCCATCTTAACTAGAAAACCACCAGTGGAAATGACTGGTGGAGAGTCATCGGAATCAATTACAGTAAAGCAGTATAAACGATTAAAGGTATTTAACTATTAATGGTTCTACATGTGAGACTTCCTTTAAAGCTTTAAAAGTTAGCATTTTGCTTGCATCTAAGTAACATTTCCAATGAAATTGAAACTGAAAATGTTGTAAAGTGAGTAAATAGTAATTCATTCAAATTACAATTTCACCGCATTTTTAAAAAAAGTTGTCTTCAAATATTAGTGATTAGATTATCATTGTTGTAATAATTAGTAAGGTGGTGTCGATCCTCAGTTTTTGTTTGAATATTGATCAATGTTTGTTTCTCTCTTTGTCAGTTATGATTACTGATTACATTTTTTGGGTAAAATGGGTAAAACAGTATGTTTTGCGTATAGGAATGTTGAAAGTATTTTAAGTTTACTTTAATCTTATTTTGACAATATTATAATTGTATGACCAAAACATTTAAATAATTGAGTCATCCATTGATCTTTAAACCAATCTAGAAATCCAAGACACCGCAATAATAATTTTTGTTCACAATGGTTATAATCAATCCAAAACACATTAGTTAGAACCAATTTGTGTTTCTTATTTTTGCAACAGATGGAACTGGAGGAATGTCGGTTGAGGCTAGAGGAACAGAAGAGAGCACGAACAAGGGCTGATGCTAAATTCATGGAGGTATTTTCCTTCTTAATTTTTATGACATTTATATTACATAGAATCTACAGCTATGGAACTGGAAAGTTTCATTTTAGTTGAACCAATTGATATACCAGTAATTGAACCCTGAAACTAAAAGTACAGTACTTTCTACTGAACAATCGGGATGAACCCTGGGTGACTATGAAAGTGTAGAAAATGGGTTTCTATCTGTGTATTTCTTTCACATTTTCTCTCTCTTTCTCTAACCTGTATATTCCAGCATCTTGTTTTTGCTTACACTGTTGGTTCAGTGATGCTCCATTAAAATTGCACCCCTGCATACTTTGCACACAATTCCACAAATAAAAAACAAACCCAGTATCTATTGAAGCCCAATTTGACTGGTGCATCATCATCCAATGTGAACAGTCGAACATTAATTAAATTAATTGCTATCATAACACTGAAATGTGATTTGTTTCTACTGATATTTTTGTTTTTTCCTAATTTGAATTAATTTATGCAATTTGAGTACAACTTGACTTATTCCCTCAATGTTCTAGCAATTTAGTTTTGTCTTTAGAGAAAATACTGTAATGTTGCTACATTATAGACGTGAAAAATTCATAATTGAGAAATTTTAAGTGATCTGCAGATTGAGTTTGTATGGTATAAGATTTCCTTAAAAGCTAACCCCTAATCAAGAAATAAAAATTAGTAAATTTTTTCGATATACTCAAGAGATGAATTGGAAAATATTATCATAGTAGGTATGTTTATTTTCAAATTTAGTTCATTTTTTCTTTGTTTGCCTTTCATAGCTTGAAATTGAGAATACTCGTCTGAGAAACATCAACCTTTCTATGTCTGAGACTCTCCAAACACAGTCAGTGACAAATACCATTCTTGAAGATGAAGGCGTGCTGGAAAGCATCGAAGCCTCTTTCCAGAAATTTCATGCATTTTTAGATCTCTTAAAAGATGCTGGGTATGTTGCATCAAAGTTCATTTTCTATGTTTTGTTGTTTAAAATGGTCTCATATGTGGTTTAAGTTATATGACAAGTAGCGAGTTCTAATTTGCAGTTGTGTTAATCATGTATAAAGAAAAAATTACGGTATTGTATATATAATTATGCAATTAATTGATTTCAGTGACCTCCGCTTCACCTATAAATCCCTTCATGCCCTAGCACCTTCCTATCTATGTGACTGCTCACTCCTGTTTTCTGCTCATTTCCTCCACCTATCTAACTTGGGCCTGTCGCCAACATTGGTGGCTGAGCTTTCAGCTACTGCACCACTAAGCTCTCGAACTCGCTCCCTTACAACTTTGTCTTGCTTATTCTCTATCTTTAAACCCTAAGACCACGTCATCAATCCAATGCTCACAATACTGATCAATACAGTGCTTTAAAATCACACTAGTTTTACTAGAAGTTTTGATCATATTTTTAATTATTTTAGATGTTAACCTGCCAAACTACAGTTTCAAACAATGAGATGTACATCAAATAGTTGTTTGATGTACGATTTAGATTATTTTCTATAGTACGGTTGTGTCTATAGAACGGTTGTGTTCTTTTTTGTCCCAACACTATTTTGTGTATTTGCAGCCTTGGACAATTGGCCACCATAGCAGGAATAGACCAATCAGATTTTGGACTTGTGGGACGACCTCAGTTTTCATCTACCGGTGGCAAGGATCAGAAAGAACAAGATGTTTCAACTGGAGATGTATGGCCACTAAGAACACAGATGGACAGGGTGAGCAAAATATAGATTTTTTTTGACATGCACTTTTTATAAAAAATTAATTAATTTGTCATTCTTTCACCCATATTTGATCACATTAGACATACAGGAGTCCTGTAGCTCAGTGGTTAGAGCACTCGCCTCACAAGCGATTCCCAACAGGGCAAAACTTGGGCAAGTTTCCTTACTCCACATGCCTGATAATAATCCCTAAGAAAAAAAACAATAACAAGTTGGTCACTGAATCCACGACTGTTTGTGGGACACTTCTGTGCACAATTGATTGCCACGATTCGCCCACAAAATATACAGTCAATTCACTGTACAGTATATTCTGTGAAGGGCTTTTAGACGTCTAGAAGATGTGAAAAGCGTTATTATTATATTTTGTTTTGCAGATAACTTTTTATTCTTTGTCATTTAATTATTCAGTAGTAATTAATCTTATCTGAATATTGATTCATTTTCTAAATCAATTATGTTGGTAGAACATCACGGAGAGCTTATTTGAGCACTTGTTTCACTTTTACTTGTTAAATAGATATCATACATGATATGAAATCTGTTTCAGTGTTTTATTTAGGCATTGATATATTGCTTACTTGTGAATTCACCTTGGAAGATTTTCTATGATAGACCATAGTATTTATTTTAAGCTTTGTAAGCAACCGCAAGAATGTGCAAAGTCAGTGATACCTGTTACTACCCACACAAACTTTACCATAGTAGTGTAGCAGCAGAAACATTTGAAATTAATTTTATAACTCCATTGTTGTTGTCCTTCGTGTTGTTGTGCTTACCCAAGTGGGCACAGTTCGAATTGGAACGAGTCTGCTGTATAGGATAGCCATTCTCTAGGTCTCTACTAGATGATGGTACAGGCTACAGGCCTGTTTAGTCTGTCTACCGGGTAAACTCAAATCATATATTTTTTATATGTAGCCAACAGGTTGTTCACCTGACAACAGGTTGTTCAGATGCACAGCTCAATTTTTCTGCACTACAAATTATTTGAGTAAGTGCGCTTCCAATGACCAGTCATTTCTCCCACATACCCTGAAATCTTACAGGAAAAAAAGGGAAATAGCTCATAAACTGTTCCAGTTTGATAATCAGAAAATGATGGATATGTGTTGAATGTTGTCAAGTTGCTTCAGTTTGGATATTCAATGTAATGTTGGTGATTTATTGAGTAATTTCAAAATGGATACTCTTGTTTATCTGAAAGTGATCTTTTGATATCCAAATATTAAGTTAAATTAATTTATAAACTAATTATAATTATTTCTACTTCTATCTGCTGGATTCTGCTAGCAGACAGCAACACAGTGACTGTTAACGGCCTATTGATTTCTGTAGAGCACATAACCTATATGCCTTTCCCCATTATGTTTCAATAGCATGATTGTCAACGACGATTGAGCCTCATACTCATATTGTAACTGGGTTAAACTTCCCATAATTACTTTGCACTAATAATAATATAATATTGTAATATAATAATCTATTATATTTATATATTTAAATATATTTATTTTAATTTACATTATAATTAATAAAAATAAGAACAATTGTTTGTCAACACATTATTAAATTATGGTTATCTAGATGAGCATGTATAGTTTGAAGAACTACAATACAAAATAATTAACGTTATCTTTAATATTTTGCAAATATTCTATGGTGAAAACTCTTCTTGATCGCAATTAATTTATTCATGCCATTTTTTCTTTAGCTTAACAGTGAAAATCAAGTCTGTTTTAAAGAAGGTGCATCGGCAGTGATCCCCAAGTGTTCCAAAAATGGATGTGTTCAGTTTGCCAATGAGTCGGTTGATTCGAGATTCGTTAATCTGCATTCAAGCCACTCCAGCTGTGGGGATGAAGTTGCTGCTAGATCTTCATGTTCAAATGGACCAGGAAACCACAGTGATAGAACAAGGAAGCAGCCTACCTCAGGAAAAAATGGACTACCCCAAAAGCAACTAGCTTCTCATCATTCGGGAATATGCCCAACCCATTCGGTAAAGGGCCAGTTCGACGCTGGCACAGATAGTCAAGAAGAGTTATAATAGAAGGAAATTTCATACATTTGTTGATGAGATCAACAAAATAAGCTTGCAATCATGCCTCCTTTACTCCCAAAAAAGGAGGATAAAATAAGCAAAATACTGATTATAAATAGTGTATGCAAATAGATACATGTATTATGAAATGTTTCTCAATCTGAAAGTTGAAACTATCTGCTCAAATTTGGAGGGAGAGGGAACTTCAAAACAGATTACATTGAGCAGTGGATTACACGTATGGGTTGTTGCTTTCATGAGAAAAGGCACCTTCGTTGATCACTGAAGATTTAATTGTCTAGGACTGACGCACAATAGTATTCACTTGTGAAATTTTTTTTACTATTGATGTAAACAATTAAGTAACAGAAGACCAATTATAGAGCACACAGTATCTTCCTTTACCCTTCCTTTCTCTTTATCCCTCCAAACATTTAACAAATATATTTTAGTCCGTGTTATCAATTTTTCAGGATTTCTGATCATAAACAATTGCCCTTTGCATGTGTAGTAGTATGTTCAGAATCTACCATTGTAATATATTCTTGGGAATTTGTGTAACCCATGGGTCAATTTGCCTTCTAGTCAAAGATATGAATCATCTATTCTTTTAAAAAAAACACAGAAAATTGGCCCTTCTGCCTTGAAATTGTACTGTACAAGTAATGCATTATATTTTTTAAATTATTTCTTTAAGCATTATTTTACACATTCATCAGAATCTGTGAATTACACTAATGCAGTTTTGTATTAAATGTGCTATTACCTACTTATATATTATGAATTTGATGTAATCCAGGCTGCTGTTTGTTCCATTAATCTGCGCTTTATCAAAAAGAATTGAAAGCTACATTTGTACAATTCCAAATTAATTTTTGCTAGTCTTGTCTGTTACACACACAAATTTCATAAGTCAAAACATTTTGCTAAATTTCTCCTTGATTTTGAATTGGTAGTCGGTGAAGTAAATGTTGATTTTTGACATGCAGGTTTTGAATAGATACTTACAGTAAATTCACCAATCTTCATATTTGTGAATGTTTTAAATATATTTCAGTTTGAAATTTTTGTACATTTCTTTAGATCACAAGTGAGTTAATAATATTGCAGGAAACTAGTACATCAAAACCACTTTATAATACAGGGTCTAAAGACCCTGAGGTGGCTGGCGCTAAGACAGCATTTACATCACAATATGGAGTACTGAAGTTGGGAGTAAACGCATGAAACCCAACTTCACTTATAGCAATGTGCAACTGTATAATCCTTTCTAAGCTGCGATTTTTATTCTGGATGTGACATATTTTGATCTACAAGGAAGGTATGTATAAACCAGCAATACCTAAACTACAGTATATTTTTGGTTCATGGGATTAGGTGGCCAATGCATTTCATCCCTGACTTAAAATGGAAGCCAGTTCACCCGGTGGACCATAGATTCCATAATTTAGCTTGCTGTTGCCTCCACAAATTGTATTTTAGACCTATTTGAGATACATTAGTAAATACCTCCAGAATTTCTAAACCCAATTTAATTTGGGCCTTTATTTAATAACTCTTAGCCTGGATTAGTTGGGAGCACTCATCTTTTGAGTCAGAAGGTTGTAAGTTCAAGCCCCACATTAGGACTTGGAACTCGTAATCTAAGATAACGCACAATGCAGTTCCTGAGGGTTGTTGCAGGTGCTGTCCTTCGGCTGAAATGTTAAACTGCGGCCGTGTCTGCTGTTCAGGTGGACTTTAAGATCCCATGGTACTATTTTTGAAGATGAGGGAGTTTCTCTTCCCCAGTGCCCTGGCTACAAATAAAATTGGCCATTCACTTCTTGGCTGTTTGGGACACTAGGGAAGCTGAAGGCCCGACCACCGATGATGGGTCGGGTGGGGAACAACAACAACAACATTACATTTATAAGTACTTCACGTCGGGAGGACGTCTCAAAGCGCTGAATATTCAGGTGTCGGGGTCTGAGCATGGGGGAGGGGTGGTGTAGGGGTGAGGGAAGGCAGAGAGGTGGGAGGGCAACCAAAGGCACGATTGAAGAGAAGGGTCTTGAGACCGGCCTTGAAGGAGGCAAGGGAGGAAGCGAGGCGAAGGGGCTGCGGGATGGAGTTCCAGAGTGGAGGGCAGAGAGGCTGAAAGCCCGGCCACAGATGGTAGGGCGGGTTGGACGGGAGACATGGAGCAGGCCGGAGTCTGCTGAACGGAGGGAGCGGACAGGTTGCTAGGGAGGCAACAGGTCAGAGAGGTAGGAGGGGGCAAGGCCATGGGTGGCCTTAAAGGTGCCGACGAGGATCTTGAACTCAATCCTCTGGGGATGGGGAGCCAGTGGAGTCGAGCAAGGGTGGAGGTGATGAGGTCATGGAGCCTGGTGCGTGAGAGTACACGAGCTGCAGAGTTTGGGATGATCAGCAGCTTGTGAAGGGAAGAGTTGGGAAGGCCGATGAGGAGGGAGTTCCCGTAATCGAGCCTTGATGTGATGAATGTGTGGGTGAGGGTTTTGGGCAGCCTGAGGGGTGAGGCAATGGTGGAGTCTGGCAATGTTGCAGAGGTGGTGGTAGGCAGTGCCGGTCATGGCGCGGATGTGAGGGAGAAAGGACAGTTTAGGGTCAAACAAGACACCCAGGTTCCTGACTGGCTTAGTGAGGTTGAGTGTGCAGCCGTGGAGGCTGATGCTGTCAGCGACCAAGGTCCGGAGGCGCTAGCGTGAACCAATCAGGAGGGCCTCGGTCTTGCTGACGCTGAGTTGGAGAAAGTTATCCCTCGTCCAGGACTTGATGTCGGACAGTCAGTTGGTCAGGACACCAGTAGTCCTGGAGTTGAGGATGGAGGCAGAGAGGCAGAGTTGGGTGTCATCCACATACATGTGGAAATTTACCCGATGTCTGCGGATGATGTCACCAAGGGGGAGCATGTAGAGGGTGAAGAGGCGGGGACCGAGGACAGAGCCCTGAGAAACGTTGCACTAGACGGTGCGGGGCTGGAGGAGAAGCCGTTTGCTGCAAACAAGTGGAGGCGGTGTGAAAGGTAGGACCTGAACCAGTCAAGGACAGAACCTTGAAGATTGAGGTGGGAGGAGAGGCGGTGGAGGAGGATTGAGTGGTCCACAGTGTCAAAGACGGCGGAGAGGTCGAGGAGGCAGAGGGAGCCCTGGTCATACATGGTCAGGATGTCGTTTGTGACCTTGACCAGCGAAGTGTCCATGCTGTGGGCAGCACGGAAACCCGATTGGAGGGGTTCATGGAGGAGTGAGAGGAGAGGAAAGAGCGAAACTGGGAGGCAACTGCTCTCTCAAGCACCTTGGATAGGAAGGGGAGATTTGAGATGGGCCGGTAGCGAGATAGCTGTGATGGGTCAAGGGAATGTTTCTTTCAGGTGGGGGTAATAGTGGCTGTTTTGAGAAGGAAGTAACAGTGCCAGATGACAGGGAGAGGTTAATGATGTCGGCGAATAGTGGGGCAAGGAGGTGGAGCTGGGATTTAAGGAGAGAGGTGGGGATGGGGTCCAGGGAGCAGGTGGTGGGCGTCATGGAGGTTATGGTGGTGTAGACAGAGGAGGGGGTGACAGGTTCAAAGGTGTGGAAGGAGGGATGGGTAATTGTCGGATGGGTAATTGTGTGGGTTGGGGGTAGGGAGGGGATGGAAGTTTGGAGGGTAGTGGCAGCTGAGTGGATTTCCTCAATTTTGGACTCGAGGAAGTCCAGCATTTTCTCACAGTGGGAGTCAGAAGAAAGAATCTGCGAGGCGTGTCGGGGAGGGCGGAGGAGCCGGTTAGTGGTGGAGAACAGAAGCCTGGGATTGCCCTTCGCCTCCAGGATTAACCTGGAATTAAAGGATGATTTGGCCGAGGCGAGAGCGGAGCGGTAGTTCTTGATAAGGTCCAGCCAGATGTGGCGGTGGACCATTCGGCCAGATTTGAACCAAGCGAGGTGATTGGATTAGTGCGAGAGATGCCCCAGAGGGAGAGGAGATCAGAGGACTCCAGGTCAGTGGAGAGGGACTGCGAGGAGATCTTCTTCCATGGGCGGTAGAAGATGGTGGTAGGTTTGGAGGAGTGGGAAGAGGGATATGGGAGTTGAGGGAGATGAAATGGTGGTCAGGAATGGCCTTGTCAATGATGGCGACATCCGAGACGCTGAGGCCCTGGGTGATCACCAGGTTGAGAGGGTGACCATGGGTGTGGGTAGCAAAGTGGATGTGGAGGGAGAGGTTGAGAGAGGAGAGAGAATTCTGAGGAGGTGGAGCAGGAGGGGGTGAAGTGGAGGTTGAAGTCACCTGGGATGATGAGGCGGTCGGAACAGAGGCAGAGAGAAACAAGGAGGGTGGAGATGTCAGAGATGAAGGTGGGGGAGGATTTTGGGGGGCGGTAAAGTAAGAGGTGGGAGGGATGGTGGAGGGTAAGGTGTTCGAAAGAGGGGAATGAGCCAGTGGAGTAGGGTGATAGGGCAAGCTACACCCTGGATATGAAGGCCACACCACCGGGACGTGGAGCAGGCTGGATCTGCTGAATGGAGGAAACAGACAGGTTAATATGGGATTAACAGGTCACAGAGATAGGAAGGGGCAAGGTCGTGGAGGGCCTTGAAGGCGAGGATCCAGGGGTCAGCTTGTCGCAGTTGGTAGCACTTTCGGCTTTGAATCAGAAGATTGTGGGTTCAATTCCCACACAGGGACTTTGTGCTCTCATAGACTAGACTGACGCTCCAATACAGTGATTTGGTTGCCCTCATTGTTGGAGGTGCTGTTCTTCAGATGAGAGGTTACCCTGAGTTCTATCTGTGCCGGCAGATGTTAAATATCCCCAAGCCACTATTTGAAAAGAAGAGTTTTCTGGTGTCCTAACCAACAAACTCCCAGAAAAAAATGATGGTTCGCTCCATGGCTGTTTACGGGGCATTGTTGTTTGCAAATTTATTGCAATGTTCACCTACAAAATTACACAATCACGTAAAATCCTGTGAAGTACTTTGATATTTGATGATCTGATAACGCATTATACCAAATGCAAAGATTAGTATTATTAATAGGGCTAATGGAATGCTAAGCTTTGTAATCAAAGCTCTGAAATCTAAAAATTGTTGTTGCAATTGTATGGAATGTTTACCAGACCAAATTTGTGTTCAATTTTATAATGTTTGAGGCAGGATATACTAGTGTTGCCGTGTGTTCAGCCTTAATTTACTAGATGGATACATGAAATGAATGGGCTAAACTATGATGAGTGGTAGCGTAATGGGACATCTATCCAAGAGCTGAACAAGTTTGTCAAGATTTAATTTATCTGGCTTCAGCTTGATTGAATACCTTCCACTGCCAACTTATTTCCAAATCTGGATACCAATTTTAGCAGCATATAGTAACTCTCCTTTTGAGCCTATTACCGTGTATGTTGCCTTCTCGTATGTACATTCAACAAGCCTAGACTGGCTCACAATTTATTTTCATAGTTGACTTCCTAGTCATAGCTTTCTGCCACATGAAAGGGCCTTGCAAGATGTTGGTCATTTCCTCACAGTTAGTGTAATATTGGGTGTAGCAATTGGAGATTCTGTTGATGAATTACAAAACTGTTATTTGAACGCATCAAGGACTTTTTAAAATTGTATATTACTCTTCTCATATTTGCAAAGAGTGCTTATTGGAATTTAGCCTGCAAACAAAGCAGGTAGTTACTTTGGTCCTTGAATCACTGGTCTCTAGTGTAATATCTACTGTTTGAAGAATTATAATTATATGTTAGACTGTGTCAATCCAGCCAGTGAGTTACGCCTAGTGTGGTAGTTATTAGCCACATAAAGCTAAGTATACAACAATTAACATTTATATGGTGCTTTTCATGTCAGAAGGATGCCTCAAAATGCTCCATACAAATGACTAAGAGTCGGAGACGTGGTGGGAGTGGAGGGGGAAAGGCGGCCAAAAGCATTGTCAAAGGGAGGGGTCTCAAAGTGGGTTTTGAAGGCAGAAACAGTACAGAATCTAGATAGTAGGGGAAAAGGTTCCTCCTAAGGATCAACAGTGAAGCAAATG